TACAGCAAAAACAATGAAAAGGTCAAGGTCATTTATGAGTGAAGGTCAAGGTCTGTCAAGTTATTTTTAAGGGATATCCTTGAAGATTATTAAGTTCAAGTTTGAAGACAATCCATTCAAAAATAACAAAGTTACAGTCAATAACAGCATGAACAAGCAAAATTTGGACTTTTAACCTTAAAGGTCAAAGTCATTTATGGATGAAGGTCAAGGTTAGTTTGGTCTACTGAAAGGTCTCGTCCCAAGGGTTGTTGTGGCCAAGTATGAAGACAATACACCAAGAAATAAGACTATAGCAATACCTCTACTTTTTTTTATGTAAAAACTGCTCTTTAAAAATTGAATTTAGATATGTTTTGTTTTTTTTAATTATTTTGCTATGGCAATTAATTCACCATAATTTTTAAGTATTTAAACCTGTTAGTCATGATGATATATTTTCAAATGTAATGGCAATATTTTTACTCCTGATAAGTTTTGTCAATTAAAGTAACTCACCTGTATTACACTTCCTATGTTGTCATCTGTCACAAGCATCACAATTGACTGCCTCCTGCGTTTCCTCACAACACTTCCACAGTCTATACAATTATCAGTCATTTTCAATAACCAACAAATAACTTAAGGGCCGATTTGATACTAGTTTTGGGGCCAATTTGACTAGTTTTGGAGCCGATTTGACTAGTTTTGGGGCTGATTTGACTTTTAAAAAGTGTTGTGTGGCCGATTTGACTAATTTTGAGGCCGATTTGACTGATTTTGAGCCGATTTGACTTGGGCCGATTTAACTAGTTTGCATGAGATAAGATACAATGTAGTATAGTACTCCCCGCGGGTACCGCGTCCTTGCCCATTCCGATGTAATCAGAAAATTTGTTTTTTTTACACATTGAATGCCACCAAATACTGTTTCCACCATTAAAGTGAAAGTGGAAGTGCTGCTTTTTGTGAATTTTTGGATAGAATTTTTTCCATTTCAAATAAATTCTGTCATTGATAGGAAAAAATCCAAAGCTGCCGGTGTGTGTTAAAAATACTTCTTTATTTTACCCCATATTTAAAACAGTTAAACTTATAATTTCATGTTCCGACAAGTGAAGGTTGTCTGCTGAAACTGTAGTGACATCATACTCTGTTACAAAAAATTATACTGAATTAAACAAGAGCGATCAGTAATCATATGTGTCGCCTCATGATGGCCAATTTCATGTTGGGACAAATTTTGTGACAGACGGACAGACAGACGGACAGTGCACAACTAGACTTGGTACTGATCATTCCTGTAAAGTTTGGATAAAATTGCACCAGTAGTTTATGAGGAGTAGTCCGGACAAGCTTTTGTGTATCAGGCAACACACAGAAAAAAAACACCTTTTTATCAAAGGGCCATAACTCGGCCAAAAATCATTCAACCGGAAAACCCGTGCAATATGCGCAAGGACTTGAGCTACAGATCAATCCTGTAAAGTTTCATTGAAATTGCATTAGTGGTATAAGAGAAGTAGTCCGGACAAACTTTAAAAATAAAAATTATTAAAGGGCCATAACTCAAACAAAAATCATTGAACCGGAAAATGCTGACAATATGCACAACAAGACTTGGTACTGATCATTCCTGTAAAGTTTGGATGAAATTGACCAGTAGTTTATGAGGAGTAGTCCGGACAAGCTTTTGTGTATCAGGCAACACACAGAAAAAAAACACCTTTTTATCAAAGGGCCATAACTCGGCCAAAAATCATTCAACCGGAAAACCCGTGCAATATGCGCAAGGACTTGAGCTACAGATCAATCCTGTAAAGTTTCATTGAAATTGCATTAGTGGTATAAGAGAAGTAGTCCGGACAAACTTTAAAATTAAAAATTATTAAAGGGCCATAACTCTGACAAAAATCATTGAACCGGAAAATGCTGACAATGTGCACAACTAGACTTGGTACTGATCATTCCTGTAAAGTTTGGATGAAATTGCACCAGTAGTTTATGAGGAGTAGTCCGGACAAGTTTTGTGACGGACGGACGGACGGACGGACAGACAGACGACGGAGAAGTGATCCCTATATGTCGCCACTACTCCGTAGAGGCGACACAAAAAGGGCCATCAATTAACATACAACAGTACCATAGTGCTCTCCGTTTAAGCTCCCATTCAAAACATGGCTGACTGACCATAGATGTTTCTAATTTAAATTTTGGAGTTATTTCTATCAATGACATGTGTATTTTAATGTCAAGATGCGACAACAAAACACAATTCAATAAAATAGTAAATACAAGTTCTTTTTATTTGCACAATTTGCTGGAAATAATAAGAACAGTGGTACCATAGGGGACCATCCTATGTATAATATAATACAATAATATAATAGTATACCTGATCTGCAGATATCTCTTATTTTTCATTTAAAATACATTAGATCACAGGAACCTGAAATTATGTCCAAAACAAAAAAATAACGATTTAAAAAAAATCCCATACTGGGCAGGAACCAGTTTCCGGACAGAATTCGAGTTTTTTTAATTGTTTATTTTTTAATAATAAACATGCATTTATAAAACTAACATTACCAAAAACCTGAGCTCTAACTACGTCCGATAACACAATTAATACTGCCTGGTGACGTAAGCAATGTACAAACTGAAGGGTTAAATTAGGTCATCAAAAGTGTAAATTGTTCACTCTTGCAGAACCAGTTTCCGGACATATATTAAGCTGCTATTCATATCTGTTTTTAACTGATAATTATTCTAATATAACAAAAAATTTCTTCTCACATATTAGCTTTCTTATATAATTAAGCTGATTTACTGAAAAATGTTTATGATAGGAAAAATAACGATCACGTGATGGGTCTCGGAATGACTGAAAAGTGAAACGGATATTTTTGTGTGTACGGCAGCAACGAAGTGCGAAAGTGGAGTAAACCTAGTTAAACACCGTTTTCCAATACGTTACAGATTTAGTTTTGGGGAATTACAACCAATGAACTTCGAATGAAGTAGATTGTGCATTAATTGCTACCCCAAATTATATCCCGAAATAAACAAAATATTGCGCATGCGCAGAACAAATTACATGCCCCAAAGGGATATAAGGCTGTTTTTAAAACACAGGTAAGATATCCTCACGAAATTTTAATGATGTAATTGTATCAACTTGGAAGGAAATTTATTTTCTCAAACAATCAAACCAAGCATCTTCATGACATATAATACCGATTGTCATCGATAAAGCCAAAATTAAGCCGTTATAATACTTGTCCGGAAACTGGTATTGTCCGGAAACTGGTTCCTGCCCAGTATATATACTATAAAAATTATAGTATATATATGGGATTTTTTTTAAATCGTTATTTTTAGTGTTGTCATGATTGTCTCTGAAAATCGATAACTAATCGGACCACCCCAAAATCGGCAACTATCGATAGTCCTTTTTAAAAATCGATTGTTCTAATGTTCTACCACCGCATGAATTGCTTAGGGCGTAACTTTTTTACACGCGGTCAAATAGAAATTTCCTGACTGAATCTCTTCAATTCCAGACAATCCTAGTCTTTTTGTATTCAAAACCTATTTATCATGGTTAATACTACTTTAGAAAATTATAGTGTGTAATAACATTATAAACTTATATGTAATTATCTACTGTACAATACTACTCATTTACACTGTGACCTGTTGACTAGTACTAATATTGACTGCCATAAAGTTGTATTATACAATAATTGACTGTCACAAAGTAGTATTAGGTATTTGTGTTGTTTATTTTGAATTCAAAGAGCAAATCATACTTTAATCTTGGAGACAAGTTTATTTATTCTCAAAATGTGGTCACTACTGTATAAAAACTACATACAAGGATTGGTACCTTAAACGAAAATAGGTCCATAATAAGTGCGAAACTTGATTATACTATCGGCAGACTATCGATTGTGGTGGTCCGATTATCGATAGTGATTTTTGAGTCCTAGTAACCAAAGACTAGTTATTTTTTTGTTTTGGATATAATTTCAAGTTCCTGTAATTAGATGGTCTTGATAACATGCAAGTAATCAGAACAAAATTAATGTTGTTTTTTTTTTAAGTTGGCCGAGTTGACCCGTGCCGAGCTGGTATACATACAGGTATAGGGCCGAGTTGTCTCAACCCTGTAGATCTAGTCAAGAGTGGGCTCTGTAGGCTACGTCAACCCATTTATATCAAATAAGAAAAAAACGATCTTTTTAAAAGAATAAAATGGGGAGAAACTGTCTGCAAAATATCGCACAAATACAGACAGTTCTCTACAGTGCCAGTGGGGACACAGGCACTAGACACAATTATTATACCCATACTGTACTGTATACGCTCATTATACTACATATAAAGAATATTCTTTGTATATAGTATTATGAGCGTATATGGGTAAAATAATTGTGTCTAGTGCCTGTGAGTGGGGAGGTCATGAGAGGTCCTACTTTCCGCGTATTTGTTCCGTTCGCTTTTCAGTATAATTTCTAACAAAATTGACAATAATAGAATGAAACATACAGGGTATCTTAAGCTTATTTACGGGTCTTTACTTACACGAAAAGAGAGTTGGTTTGTTTCTCGTGTTGAAAGATGATGTCTCCCAATTTTTGAAGGGAGTTTGAACCAGAAAAATGGTATTTTTTCTTGACAATTTCCCGCGCCTCAGTTTTGGAAGCCTCCATCTTGTTTTTCTGTGATGTCATAAGCATGTGACTTCGAAACTCCGCCTCCTCCAGGAAAGGGATGCCATAAAGTGATTACCCAAGATAAAGTACACGTACCAAGGGAGATAAATGCGAAATAAAAATAGAATAGTCACCGTAGAGTTATTGCCACAAACAATAATTATACTGAACAGCCGTTTTTTTCGGGCATCTCTTGACAGTTCAGTTTGGGTAAAACTGATAGATTCTTAAGAGGTAAACATGTAGTATTGTTAATGTAAACCGAAATGTTATATAACGATGTTTTGTTTCTCCAATTTCCAGATTTCAATGCAGATATTTAAAAGTTCAAAGCAACATGTGGCTGTGATAATGATGTTGGAAATTTGTTTTAGTTTAACTAATGGTAAATATTCTAATATAGTTAATTATTCACTACTCTTTGAAACACCCGAATTTTTTTGGTATCTCTTTAAGCAACTCTTTTAAAAACAAAAACGAAAGGCCTCCTATCTTTTTTTTTTGTGCGGGGTAAAAATACCCTTTATCTTTTTACATGAACAAAAAAAGATATATAAAGGGAAACTTCCTCGGAACATAATTTAAAACCTGACAGAAACATTATAATTTTTCCCAAGTTTAAATTAAAACCACCCACAAATGATCCTTCCCACATATAACCTACCCAATCATAACATGTAGATCTACGTAATGGAACAAAGCTGATCAGAAAGTCATTTTTTGCATACACTTATATTATCGGAGTGTTATATTATCCAACATTTATATAAATGTAGTTGAAAAACTTCTGCACTGCAAAGGAAAGATATCATAAATAAATTTTGACTTTTTCTCTAGCCTTGTCTTAAGAGACCGTTACATTAAGCGACCATTTTAATTTTTGGTATTTTTCCCTCTTGCGCGGTCGCTAAATTAACACACGTTTGACTATATATAACCTACTCAGTCACATCATATAACCTACCCAGTCAAATTATATACCCACCAATTCATGTCATATAACTAACTTAGGCAAAATATTTCATCTACCTTATTTATATCATACAATAACATTTTATAACCCACACAATCACGTTATGAAACTTGCCAAATTATTTGATTATTTTTCACATTTATAACCTACCCATTCACACTATCTAACCTAACCAGACACATAATATAACATACCCAGTCACAATTTAACTAACCCAGTATACTATTAATATATCTATCCAGTCACATATAACCTAACCATTATGCTATTTATCCTACCCACTCACATTTTATAATCAACCTAGTCACATTGTATGACATACTAAGTTGCATGATTTGACCTTCCGAGTTACTTAATTTAACCTACCCAGTCACATTATTTAACCAATACAGACATATTACTTAACCGGTAACATTATATAACCTATCAAACCACATCATTAAACCTTCCAAATCACATATAACCTACCGAGTTACTATTAATAACATGCCAAGCCACTTTATATAGCTTCCCAAGTCACGTAATTTAATAAATACAGACACATAATATAACCAACCCAGTTAAGTTATACGACCTACCAGTTCACATTATATAACATACCAACTCACATTTTTTTGTCCTTCCCAGTGATTTAATATAACCCACCCAGGCACATAATATAACCTACACAGACACATTATATAACCTACACGATAACATGATAAAACCTACCCAATCACATAATTTAAGCTAGACAGTCACATTTCATAACACGGTTACATGAAATAACTTTCCCAGTCACATTATATAACCTACTCAGGTCACATTTTGTAACGTACCAAATTACATTGTTTAACTAACACATACACATTATATAGCCTGGCCAGTAACATTATATAGCCTACCCAGTCACATTATAAAACCTACCCAGTTACATTATATTACCACAGAGTCACATTATATAACCTACCAAGTCACATAATATAGCCTACCAAGTCACATTATATAACCTACCCAGTCACATTATATAACCTACCCAGTAACATTATACAACCTACCCAGTCACATTATATAATCTCCCCAATCACATTATATAACCTTCCAGTTACATTATATAGCCTACCGAGTCACATTTTATAACATACCCAGTCAGATTATATAACCTACCCAGTTACATTATATAACCTACATATTTACATTATATAACCTACATATTTACATTATATAACCTACCCAGTTACATTATATAACCTACATATTTACATTATATAACCTGCCCAGTCACATTATATAACCTACAAAGTTACATTATATAACCTACATATTCACATTATATAACCTGCCCAGTTACATTATATAACCTACATATTTACATTATATAACCTACCCAGTCACATTATATAACCTACCCAGTTACATTATATAACCTACCCAATCAGATTATTTAACAGTCACGTTATATAACCTAGCCAGTCATTATGTAACCTACCTAGTCACATTTTAAAGCCTACACAGTCACGTTATATAGCCTACATAGTCACATTATACAACCTCCCAAGTCACATCATACAATGTACCCAGTCACATTATGTAACCTACACAGTCACGTTATATAGCCTACCTAGTCACATAATATACCATATTCAGTCATATAATATATCGTACCCAGTCACATTATTTAACCTAACTAGTCACATTAAAACCTACAAAGTCACATGATATAATTTACTCAGTCACATTATATAGCTTATAAAGTCACATTTTATAACCTACCCTGTCGTATTTTGTTACCTACCCAGTCACTTTAATTAGTCTACTCAGCCACAATATATAACCTACCCAGTCACATTATATAGCTTACCCAGTCACATTATATAACCTATCCTGTCGTATTTTGTAACCTACCCAGTCACTTTAATTAGTCTACTCAGTCACATTATATAACCTACCCAGCCACATTATATACTCTACTCACTCATATAATATAACCTACCAGTAACATTATATGACCTACCAAGTTACATTATTATACCTTCACAGACACAATTTTTAATCAACTCAACAGAGACATAATAATATTGTTAACATACCCAGTCACATTATGTAACCTACCAATTCATATTAATCATTTATATAACCTAGCCAGTCACATTTTTAACATACACAGTAACATTTTCTAACCTACCAAGTCACATTATATAACCAACCCGGTCAGATCATATAACCTACTCAGTCACATTATTTTAACACATTATTTTCAATTAAAAAAGAAAAGAAATAAACAGCGATATTTTATTATACTTGTACATTAAATTCACGAGTCATGTATACTTTCTGGTTTTCTTTCAGAAATTTCATGCGGACATGTGGATGAGAATATTACGGCTGTTGATCTTTTAGACAACATTAAAACAGAAACAACAAAAGTGTATAACGACACGAATGAATCAACTTTAAAGAACAACATAACGGAGTCGAAAACATGTATTAATTGCAGGTATTGTGTACAAGAATGTTCTTTGATTGATAACACATTGTATACATTGTATATGAATATAATTCATGGACTATAATTCAGAAAATCAGAAATTAAAACACCACATTGTCTGAAATATATCATAATATCTTTTTCATTAGCTTTAAAATATGTAACTAATGGAATTTAGTATTTTTTTGCATATAATTGATATCAAAACAGATCAAAATTTAAAAGAAAACAGGAATCATTTTAAAAAAGTCTTTCAATTCTTTTAGACATTTTATATTAAAAGAAAACATAACACATTAAAAGCATTTTTGAAAAATCATACCTATAGAGGAAAGAGACACAAATTTGATGAAAGAGCTATAATTTAATTGACAATAACAAATTAACATACACTGACAAGTGTTTTCACACCTGCATAGATAAAAGGAGATGACCATAACCTGGTAATTGAACATGTTACCTGTTGAGATTATGTTTAGATCTACATTAAAGTACACAGAAAGTTGACACTTTAAATTGCTGTCCGGTTTTCAGAGGATTTTTTTGTGCATGTCTAGCGTTAGAAACCAAGAAAAATCGGGGTTTTGGAATTAAAGGGGTTCCCGGTATTCAGGGGGTTTTTTTTTCCCAAAAAATTAGGGAGAAAATCGGGACTTTTAAAATGGCCCGGTTTTCAGGGACCCGGTTTTTTCAGGGGCCCGGTTTTCAGAGTTTTTACTTTTATAGTTTTATAAAATAATTAATATTTTAAAGCTACATACCTCAAAATGTGACATACTATTTCAATCTTAAGAAAATCAAACTTGAGAAGATTTTGGTAATAGTAATATATTTCAAGCTTTAAGTTGTGTGTTATTATTGACTGGTTTTTCTGTATATATCACAATATTTCTACTGCATGACTAACGCAGTAAGGATTATTTTTGCCTATTTTGACCTCTTTTAGGTGTTGTAAGTGCCGTTTGAAATGTGTAAATTACTGTCCTTGTTTTCTTCACATAATTTTACTTTTAAATACATTTTCAGAATTTTCATGAAAAATAGCATTAAATAATCTGGAGGCATGCTACTGAAAAAAGTAAACATATATTCAAGCAAACCAAATCTCACGTTCTTTCACTGGAGCATAGTTTCCGAAAAAGTTCAAACCTACAGTGGCGTTTTCTGTACTTTTATCAAAACAGATATAATGAAGATAAGTGGTTTCCAAATATTTCATCTTTAGATGTGCACATACTATCTTATTTATTTACAAATATCTTCATACATCTTTTTACAGTTTATCGGCCCGTGACATAAAAAATGTTGAAGAAAACTGCTCTATATCTCGGGGCTGGAACCTCAAAGGTTCCGACTGGGGTTGTTGTGGCAACTATCCTGGCTGCTGCACGTTCGCTTCTTTCATCTGCTACATACACGACGCTCTGTGCAAATGTTGCGATGTTGGTGGCACATTCTGCGGGCCTACTTGCAAACCGGAAGTGTCTTGTGCAAGTTTTACTGCTGACAAAACTAAAGATAACAATTGTGCTGATAAAATTCTAAATTTTACTAACACCACACACGAAAATCAGGAACATTTTAATGTTGATTATGTTGATGCAATGAATCAGACAGACAGTAGAAATAATACGCAAAGGAACTTTTTTCTCCGCGGAAGAGCTGTAAGTGGATCTGAGGACAATGTTTCTCAAGATGGCGGCGACTGTGAAGAAGGAAGTGGAGAAATCGACTCGTGAAAGACCGTGGATACGTCAGTAGTTAAAAGCTAAATTACAGCAGTTTTGGCACTGATTAGAAAAATAATCATTAGCATTGAGTGCATTTAGAAAATCACCAAGGATTATTTCGTCTGTTACCAAGGTGCCATTTACTTTAGTCATTTTTTTTTAACGAAAAATGTATTTCTCTTGAAAACATAATGCAGCACCCAGTTAGAATATCAATCGAAATATCGTACCTTTATTCAGGGTCTTTCAAACTTGCTCTATTAAAGAGACATTACTGCAATAGTAGTGCATACATTTTATAAGAGTTACGTCCCTTTGTCCATATAACACTTTATTTTCAATTATGATATAATGCAAAATATAATTAAAGCGGCACTCAGTGGTATCTTTTATGTAAATTTTCATTGAAAAGTCAACATGAGCTCAATGACAGATTACTGGAAAAGTTGCAATATAGACAGATTTAATATGTTTAGAAAATAACATCGTTTTCTGTTTTTCTTATCCATTTATTTTTTTGGCCAAGATTTACTCTAATTCGACTTCCAGAAGAGTTCCTGGTCCAGTATCAACAACTTCCGGTCAAACATTTCAAATATATTATAATAAATGTAACTTACCAACAATGTATAGTTTCCAGTTTTTACAGGCCTATAATGTTATGTTTTGTTGTGATTCTTACAAATTGATTAAATATAGCTACGTTATAAAAGAAGGGATTGCAGATGTACTGTGTAAATGTAGACGTACTGTGTAAATTTGATTCACTGGTTTTTTTAATTGCTTAATCTTACGGATTTACCGTTAGTTTTGTTTGTTTTGTTTAGTATTACGTCGCACAAATCTCATTTAGGTCATAATTATGGCGAAACAGGAAAGGTGATTTTGGCTAACGTCGGGTGTTGCAACATCAGTGTTCAAAACCACCCCATCTGCTGGAGCTAAGAGATGTATAGACTCCAGTAATTCAAACATATTAAATCGCCTGTAACGATCAAGGGATAAAGGATGGCTGCAATTCTACAGCCCCTCAGTCACAAGGGGAGATACGATATAGATATCGGTTAACAAGAATTAGGAGGATTTTTGCTCCAGTTTAAATAACATTTCAGCCGACGGACAACACAGGTCATTTACCACCGGGCAGTTACCATTTGAACCAGTATCTAACCTGTTCTTTTTTGTGGAAGTAATTGGAAAATATTTCAAATTCAATTATTTAAATTACCTGTGATAAAAGAATAAGATCTACTACAGTCTTGTCTTAGACAACTAAATCTCCGCAGTAAAACATGCTAGACCAAAGACCCAACCGCATGGATCTATGGTCCGTTCCGAAGATTTGACACTGCTGTTTTGCTAATCGTGTATGTTTTTTTTTATGTATAGAACAAAAGCTTTTTGTCTTCGTATAACCACGCCTTTAGTTTGAAATTATTTTTATTGTTGTTTTTTTTACATCATTTTGTGTGTTTTATGGGTTTTTTTTTTATTTACGCCTACAAGCTTAGCCTGAAAATATTCACTTATTGCTCTTAGATTATTTCTTTATCACGTGACCGTAATTTTCATTATGTAAGATTACATCAAAAGTTGTAAATAAGTTTGGCATAAAGACTGTGTTTCCGCTGATTTTAATGAAGTTCCTGCAATGAAAGGCGGTTTCCCCGCAACAATTTAGGATAGCCGAATAATACATCGGACACCATCCGGGTATTTCCTGTGGTAAGCCATGTTGGAACTCTGTAGTGTTGATATCATCTTCAATAATAAATGTTGACCAAGGACTTATGCGCACCTGTGTGCCGGAAGAAGTCTTAAAGCAAAATAAAGATAATATAAAGAAGAAAGGACAGTTCTTTCTTAAAATAAATATACAACTAACTGTTTGAAATGATCATTGCATATTAACAAAGGGCTACACTAATTCAAGACCCATTAAACCCCAGATAAATATTTTATTTTATTTAACAAAAAGCATTTTTTATTTTCATGTACTTTTATACTTTCCAAAAATGTTACTCATTGGCCAACTACCTGAACCGTCTCTTTCTTTTGTTGCGTTTTGGTAGTACGGTTATCGTGATTTAGTATTTTGTATGGAAGTCACTACATTCTGAAACTTTTATGACAAACAATTTCATATTAAATAAGAGCTTCTTTCCCCAGGTAACAAACATCTTATATGCTCTAAATCAATTATATTTAAGGTCGTTTTTATAACATGCGTGTGTATTAAATCATATTCATAATATTCATAATCATATATTTAATCATATTTAATAACACACAATTGAAAATAGTAAAATTTGCAAAAAAGTGACCATCGAAACTTTGAAAAGAAAGGTTTTTTAGTGTTTAATGTTGCTGCGATTAGTTGCTACATATAAATATATGATACAATAGTTGCAAACTAGCATTTTTAAGAACAAACATTCAGTTTAAATATACATGTAATTTATTTCTACTTTGGATACTCAATGCAGCGGAGACGATAAAATAATAAAACAATATTAACTTCTCAGTTATAATAAATTTAAAACATAATTTACTTATATATGTTATAACTGGGTTTATAACTATCTTTTCAATTTTAACAAAATATTAAAACCCATGGCATATTAAATTGATTCAAATGATTGTTTATCAAATCCCCGATCTTGCTATATACATATTGCTGAAGATTTTAAACACGAGCGACCAAATCGGGGTGACTATGGAATTTTAACTCAAACAGGGTCGAGATCCTTACTTTATTCAAGTAGCGGGTATTGAGATAATATTATGGGTACAACCCGTGCAAATGATACTTTCAAAATTCAGCTGTGTTCGCCTTATTTTATGTCCCTCCGTTTCATCAGAATAGACGTTTACATTTATTGCAAACTCTACATGATTGTATTTTCCCCCAGACATATCTTACCTGTTCGTTCGTTCCTTTTATTAATTAATTAATTCATTCATTCATTTGTATTAAATGATATGATGCCTTTTAACTTTAAGATAACTTTTAAACAAATACAGATTGTAGTTACCAGTATAATAAACAGATTTTTAACTCTAAAAATAAGTTATAAAATTTGAAGGCAACGAATATTATTTAAACCTAGTATTGGCCCAGCATTTACAGCATGTTGCATGTGTTTATGGAAGGACTTTAAAAAAGTGTCGGTTCATTTGTGCAAACCGAAATTTTACAAATTTGCATAACTACACTATATTATTTAGAACTTTATAAATTAATAAGTTATCAATAAAAAAATAATAAATAAATAAAATAGAATCCCGACAGGGACTTTGTATTCTTTCATGTGAGGAAGCTATCCAGCTAGCTGACGGAACGTCGGTGGTTCTACTCAGGTGTCCTATATATGCATAAAGATTAGAAAATTAGTGAATGTAGTGTGCCAAATCTTGCTAAAATAGCACAATTTTTTTCGATCGGTTAATGCGTGGAGAAACAAGTATTTTGCAATATTCAAATTAATTTTGTGTCTAAGTAAATGTTTTACTTTCTTATTTTATTAATGTATATATTTTTAATAACTTACAATAAATTTTAACCACATAATTATGAAGTTGAAGTGTCATGTTGTTTTATGTTATCATTCGCAGACAAATTGTGCTATCGTAAAACACTAGTGCTGTCAGTACTTTGATCTTTTCTTTTTCATTAGTTCTATTTTAAAAGATATGCTCTCTATAATAATAATAATAATAATAATATTTTTAATAATAATAATAAAAATAATGATAATGATAATGATAATGATTATGATAATGATAATAATAATAATAATAATAATAATAATAATAATAATAATAATAATAATAATAATAAGAAGAAGAAGAAGAAGAAGAAGAAGAAGAAGAAGAAGAAGAAGAAGAAGAAGAAGAAGAAGAACAACAACAACAACAACAACTATGTCGTATAAAACAGGTTCTGAAATTTCAACAAAGAATTATTATTATTATTTTACTTTATTTTTTTTTCATTTTTATTTCATTCATAGGGGGTGGGGAAGGGAGTCTCAGTCACATAACGAAAAGACTTTTTCATGTCGGTGTACTTTCAATTTATCTTAAGTCACCGGGGTATCATCCTTCCTAAATTACCAGCTTACCAAAGCTTATGGGATAGTTTATATCAGAAAATTGACAAATTTTAAGATGACATTCCCTGATAATCTTGACCCTAACAAGTTTTTCTTGATTTCCGATTATAACTCAATGATACACGAATTCTAAAAGAATGCAATGTATTAACCACTTCAAAAGGTCACATTTGTTCGGTGTGATAGTTTAAACATAGAAATTTAAGAACAAATTAAAATGTTTTAATGCCTACACATGTACATGTAGAAGATCTTGAAATCAGCACAATACAACAATACAAGTATAATTTATTGTATGAATGTTGCTACAAATGCGGCAATATTATAAGACGCTTCTGTTCATATGCAATGTTTTTTCTTTAAATTTTAGTATAAATGCATTAAGATTGAAACAAAAGCTTAAGAGTGCATTTGATATAAGCATGGCTTAATATTGTTGTCTATTTTGATAAATTAAGAGCTGTTTACTTCAATGCAAAATTGACAAAAGTTTCATTCGTTCGAACAGTCGTTTTGTCATTTATTAGCACTTTCTGTGCTTATGCAGCATGTTTGTCTAAATTGCTCTAAAATTATTGAATATTCATTCCATGTCCAAGTGACGAGGGGGGAATGTGCTAGCTGTCTTCTTTTCACTCATGAAACACTGTCGAACACGGATGTAAGAGGCATTGCAATGGGGCATCGCTTTGTGGAAGTCAATATCAAAATTGAGATTCAGTTTATCAGGGTATTTCTATTCTATGTGAAAGACAGTCGATGCATATATTTGGCTATTTCGGCAATTCTCGCAGATATCAGGTATCTGCGGGAATTGCCGAAATAGCCAAATATATAAAAAGAAGAAAATATATTTCTTTCTGTCAAAATTTGTTTGAAAATAGTGAACTTTATCACCATAATATTCTATGACTACAGGTTAACTTTTATAGAAATATATTATTGTTTTTGCCTACCTTTGATATTATTTTAAACTGTCGCAATACAGATGCGCTGTACAGGGACGGAAGTCCGGTGCATGGCCACCGTCGGTTTGATATCATCACACCAGCGCGGTAATAAGGGCTGTCATTTTGAACCGTATCTACCATATCTTTAAAACCACTCTAAACTGTTTAAACACGCATTAAAACAGAGAGTACATACATCATGAATGATACAATTGGGCAGGAAAATAGTTTCCCGAATAAAGTGACTGTCACAGTATTCAGAGATAATTAATCAAAAATAATCATAGGAATGGATAAATATTAGTCCCTGTATAGAGAGTATATCAGTATTTTCTGTCCGTTTTAACAACAATGTCTGATAAAAAGGCTATTCCACGCTTGTTTACGATTACCGAACATTTATTCCCTGATACCAGCGACTATAGACGTGTGCCGCTAAATATTAAAATGAAATTATCTAATATCAAGCTATAATTCTATAAATCTTTAATACTTATAATTCTACTTGGTTTATGTTCAGTCTTCTTTTTTTCCATTAAAGCAAAATATTTTATTAAATGTTGGTCATGTATACATAGATTGGTTGTCGAAATTTGAACCAAAAACCTGCTGACTTTTGAGAACTTGATTTGTCCGGCTTTGTAATTTGG